TCCCCGTCCACGGGGTTAGGGACTCTCAGAAACCAGAAGAATCCTCCTTCCCCGACTGTACAAGCTGACAGGTGGCATGGCCACTCCAAGGGTCCAGTCCCCGCCCCAAAACAATGGGGTAGCGGTCAGAGCACTCATGGTGAGGAGGACATTTGGTGACCCTTCTCTGACCCTGATTTGCTGTGTCCTTTGGCAAGTCACTTCTCTTCTCTGAGCTGGCTTTTCCAGTCTAGTGAGGGAGGGGGGGCTGAAGGTCCCAGGACTCCTTCCTACTAGAAGACACTGTCCCAGCATTGTGACCGTGGGTCTTTCCCAGATCCCAAGAGACTTGCTCGAAGATTAGTTTCAGGGGTAAATTACTGCAATGCCGGAGGCTGGGACAGCCGGTCACCGAAGCCCCTCCCAGTCTACCTTCCATCAGTGAGGGTTGGAAAGACCAACTGATTTCAGTACCGGCTGGCACAGAAGATGCTCAGGGAGAGAGCCTGCAGCCACGGCGCGCCCCTCCTCCTCTCCAAACAAACCTATGAAAACCCAACACTAAATACACTGTAAATGGTTTTGTTTTTACTCTCCAATTTTGGCCTGGAGAATCCTGAGCTGTCTGCTTTTCCACTTTCGTTATTTTAGGATTATTTTCCAGTTGCTTGGGAACATTTTCCAATCATGCCTATTAGGGCAGGGACAGGAGTGGCAGGTTCTTCCCAGAGACCGTGAGTGCAGGGGCTGCCATGCCTGTGGTGGTCGGTGGTCCACTGGCTGGAGCCCGCTCTGAATGCACATGGCCCACCTTCCCATGACTTATGCTGAAGTTGTACCGTGGCACACAATGGGTTTCTCAATCCTGGCTGCACAACAGAATCACCTGGGGAGCTTTTAAAGCATGCTGATGCCCGAGCCCTACTCGGAGCCAAAGAAATCAGTGTGTCTGGGGCCGAGGCAGAGACAGGGTGGCTTTTTTTAAAGCTTTTGAAGGCAGGCACTTAGTAGCTGGCTGTATTCCTCAGGGCAGACTCCTTACCATCAGAGTTGAGTTTCCTTAGTTATGAGCTGGAGAGCCTGCCCGTTTTGCAGGGCTGTTGGAAAGATGAGAGATGGAGCTTGGCACAGAGCAGCCCTACAATGACTGCTAACTGTGAGCTCTTTCCTGGCCCCAGCACCCTGAAGGGGCAGGAGAGGGGCTTCAGTGATGTTTCCACCAAACTAACATGGAAGGAATTGGTATTCCTTGAACTCACACCTGGGGAAGGTGCCTCGAACCTCCCACACGGCTGGTCCACACCACAGCTCAGGTTCCTGCGACTCTTGAGCTAACACCCCACCACAAAGAGTAATCTTATAAGAAGTCTCTTTCATTAAACACCACCTCTGGGCCTAGAAGCGATGGCACTCCAGGAGCAATGAACACACACAGCGTTGCGATCTCGGTTTCAAATGCTATTCTCCAAAAAAAGGAATGAAGCTTCCTCAGAGAAATGGCTGATTCTGGGACTGAGGCAAGAAAACACAAGATAAGCCTGGAGCATCTTGTAGCATCTTGTAGGAAGTAAGGAAGGGCTCCAAAAAACTAACGAACAAAACCCACACACAATGGGGTCTGTCAAAGGGACACAGGAGTCAACTCAAAGACCTCCAGTGGCCAAAGTTGAAACAATTGGAGCAACAAAATAATTAAAGTAGTATTGGATTATAACCCAAAGCATAAAATAAACATCTGTGAGTCCATATTGCTATGAATAAATAAATAAATGGGGGAGAAGAGGCAAATGTCTTATGCAGGAGAATTCCAAATCGTTTACGTAGATGATCGAAGAGGTGGAGCATGGCTTCTTCCTGAGTGTGGCTGTACACGGTGACTTCCTTTTGAAGAGGACAGTAGGGAAGGGTCAGAGAAGTAACTGGACAGCAGAGGAACTGACAAATATGACCTTAGCCAGGTGACCAAGGTCAACATCAACAGTGATGCGTCATGTTGATAGTACGTCCCTTTGATGCGATGTGATGAGAACAGCTCCAGTCTAACCCCTTGACAACTCCCAACTGAGGAACATTCTACATAATTTCTGACTGGTGCTTCTCAAAACTGTCAAGGGCATCAAAAACAAAGCAAGTCTGAGAAGCTGTCATAGCCATGTGACATGGCGACAAGGAAACATGACGAGTAATGTGGTGCCCTGGATAGGATGCTGGTACAGAAAAGGGACATTAGGTAAAAGCTAAGGAAATGTGAACAAACTGTGGGCTTTAGTGGATTCTGATGTATCCGTCTTGGTTCGTTAGTTGTGACAAATGTGCCCTATTAATGTTAGATGTCAACAACAGGGGAGACTGGGTGAGGAATGTATAAGGGAACCCTCTGTACTATCTTCGCAACTTTTCTGTAAATCTATAACTCCTAAAATAAAACAAACACAAATACCATTTGGGTGTAGAATGAATAAAGGTGGCTTTTTGCTCGCCTTGTTTCTGGATACACAAAAAAAATCAAAACTGGGCCAATATGTTCCCACCTTATCAGAGAAGGAGGCTGCCAGGATGGGAGATGGGGAGTGGTGAAGGGGGTGGACATGATCAAGGTCACAAAGATATTTGGGACAAAGGGCCTGGATCTCTAGTCTCCTGACCACTGGCCCCAGATTGATGAAGCACCATCTCACACTGGTGCCAGGAGGGGTGGGTCCAGGTGATCTTGGAAGGCCCTGTGAGCTCTCACAGCCTGAGGACCACACACAGTGTCTGTATCTTTCAAAACACTGAAGCCATTGCACTGGTGGGATTTTGGACGGTTCTGAGGGGGTGACATTACGCAGCAAAAGGTCTTCCCTGCATCCCTGAAGATCACACCATGCAGGCTTTGCTCCTACTAGCTGTGTGACCTCGGGGAAGTGAGTTAAATTCTTTGTGCCTTCATTTCCTTATCTGGAAATGGGGACACTAATAACACCTACCAGAGAGAAATCGCTGTGAGGGTTAATAAGATCATGCAAAGAGCAACTTTGGGTAAAAGTTGGCCAATCTTTTAATCAGAGCCCGAGCTTAGGGCTTGGTTTCTGCTTGAAAATATAGTAGCTCATGGGAGAGAGTGGGGTGGAAGGGCAGAGCAGGGAACAGAAGGTGCAATGGCTCTAATTCTGTGGCAAAGGAGGTTGGGACTTTGCTGGAGGCCCCATACGTTGCAGTAATTCCAATTTTCAGGTACAATTGCTGGCTCAATGGATTTTATCTAGTCCAAGGTGATGAGTCCACTGACCAAATCAGCCCCACAAATTCATGAGCCTGGACTGTTCCCCAGATACAGCGAAGCACTACAGGCAACGCTGAAGGTGAGAACAACAAAAGTGTCCAATGGCTGAAAGATATGATTCCATCTGCATCAAATAAAACGTGTGTGTACGATACAGCACTGGAGCACCCTGATCGCCTGGGTTCAAATTCCAGATTGGGCACTCATTCCCCATGTCACCTGGGGGAGGTCACTCAACTTTGCATTTCAGTTACCTCATCTGTAAAAGGGGCAGAATAGTAATTCCTACCCCAGAGGGCTGCTATGAGGATAAACTGTGCCAATTCGCAGGAAGAACTGAGACGAATGCCTGGAACATAGTAAGTGCTTAGTGAACACGAGCTGTCATGGATGTGGGACTCTCCATGGAAAAGGGCTGCAGGGATACGCTCATGGACTTCTAGCAAAAATGACTTCAGGAAGCAAACCGGAGGTTGCCAGGGGCCTGGGAGGGAGGAACTCAGAGCGACTGCTTAAGGGCTAAGGGGTTTTATCTTGGGTCATGCAATATTTTGGAACCAGGTAGAGGTGGTAGCTGCACAATATTGTGAATGTGTGAGATTGTGCACTTTAAAATAGCTAATTTTATGTTAAGTGAATTTCACATTGCTAAAAAAATAAAAATAAAAACAAAACCTTAAAGACTCACCCTGACTGGTTTGGCTCAGTGGTTTCAGCATCGGCCCACAGACCAAAGGGTCTCAGGCTTGATTTCTGGTCAAGGGCACGAACTTCGTTGCAGGCTTGATCCCTGGCCCTGGTCAGGGTGCACGTGGGAGGCAACCAACCCATATGTCTCTCTCACATTGATGTTTCTCTCTCTCTCTTCCCATCTTCCCTCCCCTCTCTCTAAAAATTGATGGAAAAAAATATCTCTGGGGAGGATTAACCAAAAAAAAAAAAAAAA